GCTCAGAGGATTGAGCATCACCCCATGGACTGAGAAGTCCTGGTTCAATTCCCGGTCAGGGTACATGCCCAGGTTGGGGGCTCAATCCCTGGTGGGGGGCATGTCTGGGGCAGCCAACTGACATTTCTCTCTCATCCATGTTTCTATCTTTCTCTCTCCCTTCCTCTCTTTCTAAAAAAATCAATAAAAACATATAAAACATTTTTTTTAAAACTATACAACTCCTAGAATATGACAATGACTTTTTAGGAACAATGCTAAAGGCAATCCACAAAAGAAATAATTGATAAGATAGACTTTATTAAAATTAAAAACTTCTGTCCAGCCGGTGTGGCTGTCATTGAGTGTCAACCCATACACCAAGAGGTTGCCGGTTCGATTCCCGGTCAGGACACATGCCCAGGTTGTGGACTCGATCCCCAGTGAGGGGCATGCAGGAGGCGACCAAACGATGTTCTCTCTCATCAATGTTTCTATCTCTCTCTCCTTCTCACTTCCTCTCTCTCTAAAATCAATAAAGGAAAAAGATTAAAATATTAAACAGAAACTTCAGTTCTACAAAAGACAATGTCAAGAGGAGAAAATAAGCCACAGAGTAGGATAAAATATTTCTTATAAAGGAATGTTACCCAAATTATAGATACAACTCTTAAAACTCACCAATAAGAAAACTAACAACCTGCCCTGGCCAGTGTTGCTCAGTTGTTAGAGCATTGGCCTGAGGACCAAAGGGTCTCAGATTTGGTTCCCAGTCAAGGGCACATACCTGGGTTGCAGGTTCGATCCCCAGCCCTGGTTAAGGCATGTGCAGGAAGAAACCAATTGATGTGTCTCTCTCACATTGCTGTTTCTCTCTCTCTCTCAATCCTTCCCAGTTTTTCTAAAAATCAATGGAAAAAATATCTCCGGGTGAGGATTTAAAAAAAAGAAAATGAACAACCCAATTAAGAAATAGGCCCTGGCCAGTTTGGCTCAGGGGTTAGAGCATTGGCCTGTGGAGGGTTCGGTTCCCGCTAAGGGCATGTACCTCGGTTGCAGTTTGTCCCCGGCCCCAGTTGGGGTCGTGAGGGTGGCAGCCACTCAATGTGTCTCTCTCACATCGATGTTTCTCTCTCTCTCTTCCTCCCTCTCTCCCTCCCACTCTATCTGAAGATAAATGCAAAAAAAAAAAAAAATGTCCTCAAGTGAGAATTAAAAAAAAAAAAAAGATAAAACTCTCGCCTTGGCTGGTTTGGCTCAGCAGTTAAAGTGTTGGCCCCTGGACCAAAGAGTCATGGGTTTGATTCCGGCCAAAGGCATGTATCTCAGTTGCATTTGGTCCCCAAGCCTGGACAAGATGGTGCGGGAGGCAACCAACCAGTCGATGTGTACTTCTCCCCTTGATGTTTCTCTCTCCCTCCCTCCCACCTATCTGATGATAAATAGAAAAATATCCCTGGGTGAGGATTATAAAAAATAAAAAATAAAAAATAAAAAATAGATATAAGATCTCAACAGACACCTCACTAAAGAAGATATACAGATGTCAAGTAAGCATATGAAAAGATACTCAACATATGTCATTAGGGAATAACAAATCAATCAAAACAACAAAAAGATGCCACTATATATCTATTAGAATGGGCAAAATCCAAAATATTGACAATGCCAAATGCTGGTGAAGATGTGGAGAAACAGGAATTCTCATTCATTTCTGGTGGGAATGCACAGTGTACAGTCACTTTGTAAGACAGTTTGGCAGGTCTACAAAACTAAAATTACTCTTATCATAATTCCTAAGCAATCATACTCTTTGGTATTTATCCAAAGGCGCAGAAAACTTATCTCCACACAAAAACTTGCACACTTTTTTTTTTTTTTAATAAATTCTCACCCGAGGATAGTTTTCCATTTATCTTCAGATAGAGCAGGAGGGAGGGCGGGAGGTGGAGAGAGAGACACTGATGTGAGAGGGATACATCAAATTGGTTGCCTCCTGCACAACCCTGACCAGGGATGGGAACAAAACTGCAACCAAACTGCAACGTGCCCTTGACCAGAATCAAATTTGCGACTCTTTTGTCCTCGAACTGATGCTCTAACCCCTGAGCAAAACCGGCCAGGGCTACACACATATATTTACAGCAGTTTTATTCATAATTTCCAAAAGTTGCAAGCAACCAAGAAGTCCTTTAGTAGGTGAATGGCTAAATAAACTGTGGTACATAAAGGTAATAGAAAGAAATGAGCTATCAAGCCATGAAAAAACATAGAGGAACCTTAAATGTATATTACTAAGTGAAAAAAGTCAATCTTAAAAGGCTACATACTATATGATTCCAACTAAATGACATTTTTGAAAAGGCAAAACTACGAAGACAGTAGAAAGATTAGTGGTTGCCAAGGGTTAGTGGGAGGGAGGGATGAAAAAGCAGAGCACAGAGGATTTTCAGGACAGTGAAACTATTCTGTGTGATACTATAATGATGGATACAGGTCATTAAACATTTATCCAAACCCAGGGAATGTGCACCACCAAGAATGAACCATAATGTAAACTATGGAATGTGGATGATAATGATGTGTCAATGTAGGTTCATCAACTGTAACCAATGCACCACTCTGGTATGGGATGTTGATAATGGGAGAGAATGTGCATATGCTCTAAAAAGTGAAGTTGATTAATTAAAATAAATAAGTAAGAATAGTGAAATTCAATGTATACATAAAGCTATAAATGCTTGGGGTAGGTTTTTTCCCCCATTAAAAACTAGAATCCTTTAGCATCAAGATGAAAACATTGACCCAAAACTTAAATCTTCCTCAAATTCATGATGTGTCTGAACATCATTCATATTCATTTATTTTTTTTAGTCCAAAATATGTATTTTTAAAATGGCCATTTGAGGTTTGAATGTAATTTTTGACTGTGAAAAAGAAATTTCTCTGTACTGAATCAACTAGCCTATAAGTAAACTGAATCCACAACGATGGCCTAATGTTATGCTCTAACCAGTGTATACTCAGGATCCCAACAGGGACTAAATGGTAGACACAAATTAAGGTCATCTTTGCAAATCCACACTATTTGCAAAGGTGTGGATATGCTATAAAGGAACCATAAGACATGGCGCAAGTTCTCGGGGCTAGCAGCAATAGAGCTGTCACCCCTGGACCCAAAAGGACAAGAGAAGGTTACTGAAACCCAGAAAGAGAGGATCATATAGAATGGGCCAACTTGAGAGAAGTAGTGATGTGCTGAGGGGTAAGACCACCCTGAAGTCCCGTCAGAGGGAGGGAACAGGGAGAATAAATATATACGGGGGGAAGGATGCACAAAAGTAGGCTTCCAGTTGTGAGTATGTGCAACACAGTTTATGCTTTGCATTATTTATTAATTATTATATTATTTTCCATATGAACAACTGTAAACCAATGTTGCCACACCCTGTATTTATTCACTCTCCTTCCTCCCGTCTCCTGCCCTGGCCCCACTCAACAGGAAGCCAGGAGAGATAGAGGCACTGATGCAATCCACACAGGTAAGTCTTACAAGGAGAAAAGGATGGATAAGTCTGGATCTGGAGGGACAAACGAAAGATATTTTGCACATCAATAAATTAAATCACTACAAAGTAGCAATACTTTTTTAGTAAATGTTTAAATGATACTCAGTAAATGTCATTTCAAAGCATTTATTGAGTGTCAGTAAGAATAGGTACTTAATTCTCTCAGGGATAGAAAGGTGGTTCAAAGGGGTATTATTTCAGATGGGGCTGTGAAGGAAGTAGGGAAAGGAAACAAGAGGTCATTCTCTGTAGAAAGAATAAGGCCTTGCCTACTTTTTTCCTTTCCCTTGTACCACTCTCCCCTTGTAGCAGTGGGGAGATTTTTAGTTGTGGATATTGGAAAATTACACTGGCCCTATACAATTAGCTTAAATAACAATGAGGATCTATTGTAAACACAACTGAAAAGTCTATAGGTAGGAAAAGGGTAAGTAAGGTTGGTTGATCCAGGGACTCAAGAATGTCATCAAAATACAGGCTTCTTTATACTACACCAATCTGTCATCCACATTGTCAGGTTCCTCCTTTTTGGCTTCTTATGGTTGTAGGATGACTGAGTGCCACAGTGGGGTTCCATTCTTCCTGGTTTATAACCACTACCCAAGGTCATTTATCCACTCCTGAACCAATGACTATGGCAAGAGGAATGATGGCCTTCTGCCAATTTAGGCCTCATCTATAAAGCTGGAGGCATCAAAACAAAAATTTGGATGAGTATAGGAAGGAGAAAGGGGATCCTGGATACTGATGCTCAGTAAGCAACCAATAAGTGTCCAATGCACTCCTTCACTTATGATGCTCCAGCTGTACCACACTTTCACTAGTTCCTCGCATATACTAAACTCTTTTCTGCTACAAGGCTTTTGCATATGCCGTTTCTCTTGTGTGTAACATTATTTTCTTCCCTTCCCCATCCCTTTACCTCCAATGTGATAATGTCACCTGTTAGAATGTCATTATATGCTTTACTTTTCTTCATATCACTTATAACAGTTTTAAATTATTTAATATATGTGATTGTTTTATGTCCAGCTCCCCCACTGAACTATAAACTTCAAAATAGCAGGGACATGTTTTTATTAACTATATCCTCAGTACCACATAATATCTGGCACACAGAGTCACTCAAATACTGATTGATTGACGGATTCACTGATTGATTGATTGAATGAATGAATCTAATAAGATTGACATATAGTGAATGCCTATAGGCTATTCATGTCACCAGAAAAATGCATGCCACTGGTGAGAAGTCAAACATTATTTTGAATAGGTTAGAATAAACTCACTCATTACATGTATTGGAATCATAACTAAAAGTTTATGAATTTGTATTTAAAACATTTTATTTATGTGTATAACAAAAAAAATCTACCCAAATTTTTCTGGTAATATTCCATAAAACTATTTTACACTATAATTTTATTTAATATTATAACGTATCAATCATACCTTTTTTAAACTGCATATTTCAGATTCTTGTCTTTTATTTAAAGTTGAAAGTCTTTTGTTTAACTGTATTGCTTCCTGTACTGCAACATGAAAGACATTTAGGAAAATATTACATTCAATTTACATTTTAAGGAAATTATCACTAATAAGGACAAAAAAAAATAGCCTCAGTGCAATGCATATAATTATTACTGAATTTAAATAAAATTCACTAAACTGCCATTTACTATTACTAGTCTCTTAAATTCAATTTATTCATTATAAATAAGTTCATTTAAACATTTCCTATTAAATACATAAGTTTAAATAAGATAGCACCTACCATTTTGTTCTAACTTTTCATGATTCGCTTTTACTAATCCAAATTGTCCCGTTACTGTGGCATAGTATTTTTCAATTTCATTCAGTTGCTTCTGATGATCTTCTTTAGCCAGAAGATGTAACTGGACTTTTTGTTCCTATTTTGAAAAGTTTTAAAAGTTATACATAGATAACGCACACATATATAAATATGCACACATACATGCATATAAGCACATGTATATATTAAACATATAAAAAGCTATTGTTTTTCCTAATTGCTATTAACATAAACATGTCATGAAAAAGTACTGAGTACACTATGGGGAGAAAAATTTAGCAGATATTTCTAAATCTATGTAAAATTAAAGCACATTTCCCCCCCCCCATAACAAAATAGTCACTTATGATTATATTTCCCTTGTTTATGGTTTCTTTTTCAAATATCAACTGGTTGTTTTATTTTTATTTATTATTATTTCTGTTGTTGTTAATCCTCACCAGAGGATATTTTTCAATTGACTTTGAGAGCAAGTGGAAGGGAGGGCATACTAATTGGTTGCCTACCTGGGTGGAGGATCGAACTAGGTATGTGTCCTTGACTAGAATCAAATCCATGACCCTCTGGTCTGTGGGCCAGACAAAACCAGTAGGGCTGTTTTATTTATTGAAAATTTAATAAGTCCAGCCCAACACTAAGCAATGTGGGGGAAATGTTAAAGCAATATTTTTATAATTTAGGAAAGAAAATTTTTTTTCTAAATTTGCTGGCATAATTATGGCATGCATTATCAAAATTTGGGTAATTTTTCTGAGATTAATTTTAATGAATATAGCACTTTCTCACTGCATTAAAAAAGATATTGATGAGGACAATATCTATCAGTGACAGGGAGGCAATATAATATAGTAAAAAGTCTACTTAAGCTGAGAGGTATAATTGGTGAAAATTGGACTCTACGTATAATATGGGCCTTCATGCTTTCAGCTAAAAGAGCTTCTTTTTACCATACGTAGAAGTACGACTTGATATTTTAAAGAGAAATATTATTTTAATAGAATCACTAACATTTCTAAAGGTCTTGGTCTTGACTTGGCATTAGCAGAATCATTGACTAGTTTCACAACTTGCATTCATTTTGCCACATGCTTCAGCTCCTATGATAAGCAGCGATAGAGAATAAGGCAGGCCCATTGACTAGCACTCAGTAACTGTTTTCTGAATGAACTGTTGTTATTCCATAGAGTCTCAACAGTGGAAATTTGTTTGATTTGCCTGGCCATCTATCTCCCTTACCCAACAGTACCACAACTTCAAGTATTTACTTGAAATATTTTTTCATTACAATGTAGTAGGACTAAAATTTAGGGCTCCTACTTTTCCCTAGTCAAGTGAGGGCATATTACCCAAAATAAACCAATTGATTTCTACCTTTTGGGAATTTAAATCTTGAGCAAAAGGAGTATAACACTAAAGAAATTCAGTGATGATTGATCCCATCCAGACTGATGTGAGACCTTTATCCTGAGTTCCTATATCCTGTTTCACAAACTCTGAGATTACTCTGCTCTCTGTTTGTTCTCAACGCCATTCTTCACTCTCTGATTTATTGTGAGTGCCTCCACCAAATCTCCATTTGCATAAGTTAACCAGAGCTACTTTGTACTGCTAAAAACCAAAGGACAGGCAGTATAGAATGGTCAAAAGACAGTCTACCTATGTTTAAATTCTGCCTCTGTAATTTAGTTGCGGTGTGACCTTGGGAAAATCATATACCCTGTCTTTAAAATGAAGATTCTTTTCTTTTTATATATATATATATATTTTCTTCATTGATTTTAGAGAGAGAGGAAGGGAGAGGGAGAGATAGAAATATCAATGAGAGAGAACATCGATTGGCCACCTCCTGCAAGCCCTGACTGGGGATTGGGCCCACAGCCTGGGTATGTGCCCTGACTGGGAATCGAACCGGTGACCTCTTGGTGCATGGGTCCATGCTTAACCACTGAGTCACACCGGCCAGGCTAAAACGAAGATTCTTATAGTATCTCCATCATAGTGTTTCTGTGAGGATAAAATAATACATACAAGGCACTATGAACAGAACTTGTCACATAAGTACATCACAATGTTTTGTTATGATTATTCCTTAACTAATAAAAGTACCTCTATAGGTCTAATTTTTATTTGAAGTAAGAACAGCCCTCTTGAATATTAATAAAGAACACATTACAATTTAAGTTGTATCTGACTATTACCTTGGTAAATCTGATGATAATTTTAACTTTTTCAAAGATTTTTTTAATGATTTTAAGCAAAGTGAAAACATAATTGGTAATGATTATGGCAGATCCGTTGACAGTTTCTCATGCACATCTGTGGGCTTTTTAAATTCAATATTTAGTCATTTGAATTAATTGTATAGCAATTATAAAAGCAAACGAGTTGACAAGTGTACTTACCCCAAGATCTTATGCCTGAGTAGTCACTATTATCAATAACTAAACAATGAACAATAATGAACCATATTCCATTCCTCTAAAATATCACTTAATTCTCTAATCCAGAAAATTATATTTGCTTTCAGCAGATGTGTAAAAACCTAATATGATTTCACTAAAATCTGGTCTAAACACATGTTTCCGATGCAAGGAATTTTTCGAATTTTCAATTCAAATACATTTTTATAATAGCCTCTGAGACTACTGTTCCCTACATATTAATATAGCCTTCCTTAACTTACAGTTTAAAAGTGGCAAATAAAATAGGCTATCAATGCCTGCAAATGTTAACAATGTTGATAACTAAAAATGCAGCAAAGATCAAGTGATTTCATAGGTATTCTCTACATACATAGAGCTCTTACACACATTAGACAATCTGTGATATACTCTACTCCAACATCCTTTGCTTGAGTACCAAAGTTGAAATAAATTAAAATGCAGTTAAATTTGTTTGCATAACATAATTCTGCTATTCAAACACATGAGTCTATTCAATAGCCACAATAAATACTATAAAGAATTTCAACTCATGAATACCTATAGCTTATTAGCCCATACAGGCCTATATGGGACTGTTCATACATGAATCTCAGCTGCTCTGATAATGAGATGAAGAGGACAATTGTCAAGTTCACCACTAACTGAATGACTGTCAGCAAATAGTTTAAATTCTTTGGGAAATAATAACAAACAGTAAATTGGTAACACCTGCCTAAAAACGTTAAGAACATTTTAAAAATTACAAGTTAGTATTATTAAAAATTTTGACATCACATACTACACCATAATAAATAAAGACTATTTTATTAAGATGACTAACAAATAGTTAATTCATATGGGTTTTGTTTTTTTACCTCTGTGAATTCGTTCAAGCTATTTATTCTTTTACAAAATTTTACTACCAAATGCAAAGAATCTGTCCACAAGAAAATAATGCCAGGATCCACTGCTTTCCAAATACAGGTCTACCTCATTTTAAACAAACTTAATCTATAAAAATCAAGATTAGAGAAAGAAAAGATAGAACATCATTTATAGAACTCTCCACTTTGGTCAAGATGGCGACATAGGTAAACGCAGTATCGCATCCTCCCACAACCACATCAAATTACAACTAAACTACAGAACAACCATCATTCAAAGCCACCTGAAATCAAGCTGAATGGAAGTCCTACAACTACAAAATTAAAGAAGCAGCCACATTGAGACTGGTAGGAGGGGCAAAGGCAGACAGGCGGGATCCACATCCACATGTGGCGGATAAAAATCAGGAGGACACCTCGGCTGGGAAGGTCCTCCCTGAGGACTGAAGGGTCCCTGTCCCATACCAGGAACCCCGCTCAGGGTTCCAGTGCCAGGAAGAGAAGTCCCCATAACTTCTGGCTGGAAAAACCAGCAGGAACTGAGGCTCAGGGAGGCTGAGGTGACTGGAGCCCCAGGCAGCTCCTCTTAAAGGGCCTGTGCACAGACTTACCTAGATTTGCTCCCTCTAAACTCAGAGGGGAAGCAGCTTAAGGGGCGCCTGAGACATACAGGAAAGAACTGAGCTGTTTGACATTGGAGCGAGGGCTGAAGAGGAGGCTTTCTCCTGGACAGAGGTGCTGTCAGAGGCCTTTGTTCCTTTGGTGAGCCCTTCCCTGGGGCGGCAGACAGCCGCCATATCTGAGACTCCAGCAACTTGGCTCACACTGTTTGCCCTAGCCTGGTGAGCATACCAAAGGACCAGTGAGAAATGAAGGATGCATAGTCAGAAATGAAGGAGGCACTAACTGAAATAAAGAATAATTTACACAGATTCAATAGTAGAGCAGGTAAAGCCAAGAAGCAAACCATCAATTTGGAATATAAGGAAGCAAAAAACACCCAGAAAAGCAAAAAGAAAAAAAAATCCAAAAGAAATGAGGATAGTGTAAGGAGCCTCTGGGACAACTTCAAGCGTGCCAACATTCACATCTTGGGAGTGCCAGAAGAAGAGAGAGAATAAGAAATTGAACACCTATTTGAAACAATAATGGTAGAAAACTTCCCTAACTTGGTGAAGGAAACAGATATACAAGTCCAGGAAGCACAGAGAGTCCAAACAAGATGAACCCCAAGAGGCCCACACCAAGACACATCATCATCAAAATGCAAAAGGTTCAAGACAAAGAGAGAATCTTAAAAGCAGCAAGAGAAAAGCAGTTAATTACCTACAAGGGAGTTCCCATAAGACTGTCAGCTGATTTCTAAAGAAACTTTGGGAGAATTCCAAAATGGCGGCAGAGTGAATGGAAGCTACACAGACCATCTCCTAGGACCAAACTGGAATTACAACTTAAAAAAAAAAAAAAGACATATCGATGGGAAAAAGCAACAGAAAAGCAGCTTCCGAGGAGCATATAACCAGGGACACTGCCTCGATCCTGGTAGGATTGCAGAGGCACGAGAGGGAAGCTGGGAGCCCACAGACAGCAGCGGCCTTAGCTGTGAGCAGCACCCTAGGGTTAAACTCCCAAGTGGCTTCACAACGCAGAGCTGGAACAGACCCACAGAGCCACAGCCACTCACCTTGGGCTCGGGCAGAGGGAGGGCGGACTGGAATGGACTGTGTGGGGACACTCAGGATTTGGAGGGGGCTCAGACCTTTTGCTGAGTTGCAGCCACACAGGGCGGT